ACATGCTTTGCCACTTGGCCACAATCCTTCCTCAGGGGTTACATAAAGGTTGTGGGGAATATGCAAAATGTACTTACACAATTTGCTAACATAAAATCTTCACTTAATTTCTCTTAAGTAACATTGCACGCATGTGTATATCTCTTAGGCTGCCCAGTCTACAAATTTGAGGTTGTAGTATTTTACACATAATATTGTTCCGTGAAACTTCGGAAGTAGTGTAAGAGGAAATTGATATGCAACTGTTATGGCCTGAGGGGCTGAATAAATGCTGTGTACAAACACATGTAATATTAGTGCTAACATTCATTTATATAAGGCAACTTCAGAAAAACAATGATTTGGAGTAGCAGCCGGGGAGCAGGTGCTTAATGTTTATTCACCAATCATTTCTTCACTCCAATTACCCCCTCAGATTATTTTTGCCTCCTCACTTTTCAAACAGGATTGTTAAATGATTCTCTTAAATTTACATACAATATTTGGTGAGATTCTGAATTTTTTGTATATTGCCATAAGTTTGAGCATGTAACTCAGTCCTGATTTTGGCTGATGATACGTTACCTTATACATAGCTGTTCTGTTGCTTTCCTTTCAATCTTCTTCTGCAGTAGGAAAGATTCTTCACTAACATGAATTCCTAATCTCAGTTTTTGACATTGTAAATTGATCTGACAGTTGCAGGTTATTATTTGTGGTGAGGCTGTTTCTAAGATAATAGATTTTTTCACTTGTGCCTTTTTATTGGAATCATTGTGGAAATGGATGCTGTCTAACTATATGCCTGATTCAGATTTATGAGAAAAAAAATCGACAGCTATCTTACATTCCTACTCAAAGCCATTCTGGTCAATTGGTAGACTTGCAATTACACTTCTGTATACAAAATCACAAGTCTTCTGTTTTTGTTCTAACAATTAGCTTACCCAGATTTCAGAGCATTTAGAATAACAAGATCATAGAGCTTAAGTCCACAAAGTGACCAAGTAAGTCATCTGGTCCAACTCTCTAGGGGAATTTATAGTATCTTTATCTTAAATACCTTTTTGAGGCAATCATTCTAATCTCAAAACAATTCTTGCTATCAGGACACTTTTCCTAGTGTTTTGCCCAAAACAACTTTCTTCCAATTTCCACTGTTTTATTCTGATTCATGTTCTCTGGAGGAATTTAACATTGATACATCCTTATAAAGGTAAGGGTCTTGCAAGCTGATCTTAACTCCAGGTGACTCTTGGTAATGTGAGTAGCCATTCTTCTGAGATTTTCCCAAACCAGCATACAGTCTGGGGATTTTCTGGTACTCTCTTACTGAAGTACTAACCAGATCCAAATCTGTTTACCTTTCTTCAAGATCAGATAGCTACCTAAATGTGATCATGGCTACAGCCATCTTCTGAGAGATTATGGCTGCCTTAAAGCCATCTAGTGAGGATGAAGGTCCCACTGAATTCAACTGGATTTACTCCTATATAAATGTGCACAGAATTGTAGCCATATGCTAAACTAGCTCTAAATCAGGCTTGTAGCCAGTAGGGAGGCTAGAGGATTTGTCCCCCATAATTTTTTTTGGGTTCCTCATATATTTTAAATTATTATTATTATTATGGTTGGTCGTACAGCCAGCCAGATGTTTAGACTGAATTTGGCATTTTTATCCACCTATCGAGTCCTTCCCAAGGACCTGGGATAGGCAGGTGTTGTTATTGTTATTATTATTTTCATTTTTATCCACCTATCGAGTCCTTCCCAAGGACCTGGGATAGGCAGGTGTTGTTATTGTTATTATTATTTTCATTTTTATCCACCTATCGAGTCCTTCCCAAGGACCTGGGATAGGCAGGTGTTGTTATTGTTATTATTATTTTATTATTTATTTAAATGTATTAGCTGCCAAACTCCAATGGACTCTGGGCGGTTTTCTTTAAAAGACCAGAGAAACTTCCACTATCTAGGCAATACTAAATCTACAGGCAAGACTGGAAAAGGGGGGGGGGGATCCCAGAAGAATGTAATGATAATGGCCAACCACTTGTACTTGAATTGCCAAGATTACATGGCCTTTTTTTGTTTTAGTTTTGGTTTTTTGGTAGTTCTTCTCTCTGAATTTTTCGGTTGGCATCAGGCCTGCTCTGAATTTAAACACTACTGCTCAAAAGCACAAAATGCCATATGCAGTTTTTTTCTGCTAAGTTTAGTTTGAGGGCCTATTGTTCTTTTCACAAAAAAGGCAAAGTCAGTGCTCCAGATGCATACATGAAGTCCTATAACCTCTAATACCTGTGCGACTGCAAGATGATGCCTTAGTCCCAGAGAAGAAACAAGAGAGGCGAGACATCAGATGGGAAACTGGAAGTATGTAGGGGAAGCCAACAAGGCGTGGCTCTTCCAAAAGGCTAACGGCAGACCCATGTATTATTTGTTGAAAAAGAAAACAAAACAACCTGGCTGTTTAGATTTCTTGTTTCCCCTTCTTACCTCATAGCCTCTCCCTCTTCACCCATTATTGTGGATGTCTGGGATAGAAAGCCCATTAAAATAGACTAGAAGTATTATAGCAGAATAGTGCTTGCTGGCATGATGCCCCACATGCTGAGAGACAAAAACAGTTTAGGCTGGGGTGAGTCTGCATGTGACTTAAATCAGGAAAACGGCATAGGGGCAAGAGCTAATGCCCCTGCCCACCATAATTAATAACTCTCTTCTGATTACATAAACTAAGAGGCAGATTATGGTTTGTTCTAAAGATGGGCTGGCTTCTTTTTTGGGCTTGCATCCCCTTGAAATCCAGAAACGAAATACAAAGCCTCATCCACAGCATGGACAATTGTTAACATTTCTCCTTTTGTAGCATGCTTGTTTCCATGTACAAAGTCTGGCAGATTGGCCAGATCTAAATAATGGAACAGTTCTGATGATGCTAGCAATAATGGTAGTAGTGATAAGGAAAGATAATGGATGCTTTTGAACTGTGGGAGCAAGGCAGTGTTTTTTCCTTTTTCCTTTTTTTCTCTTCCACAAAGAGGCATTAATCCCTGTCTTAAGAGCTGAGGTCAGCATCTCTTGACATATTTTAACTAGCCAGGCAGAGAAGGGTCAAGAAGACTCTGCTAGCAAGTTTTTCTCCAAGTATCTTAGACATGTTTTCAAGAGGGGGAAAAAAACTAACTGGTTAAACCTAAAATACTGAAAGCATTTAGCTGCAGCTGGCTAAGCCTAAGGTATTCGATGCTTCTGAATACAGTAGGTAAGAATTATAATGGACTGCATTATACTATGCACTGTAATATACTATATATATTACAGTGGACTTTTACAAGACTATAAACCTCTGTATTTTTCTGCTTTTACAGTATATGTATTTATGACTGGGTTGCACATTCTCATGATGGCTCATCCCAGCTGAGCAATAAGAAGTCATCTGAGCAATTCAGTTTCAGGGTGGGAGGAAGGAAAGGCCCTGTCATACCCTCAGGAATGTCCAATGTTTAAAAGAAATGTAAGCCTTGAAAAGGAATGTTAAAATAATATGTTTAATTAAACAGTTGTTGGAGAAAAAAGTATCTGGTTTCTTTGTCACACTCAAATTGCTGCAGCACTACAGAGATTATTTCCCTTGCAGATAAAATAAAGAGAAATATTCCCATGAGAAATTAGCAGCATGGGCTTCATTAAACTTGTTCATTTGAAGGAAATAAATACCTCAGTCAGTGGTAAGTTATTTTGGCAACCAGTAGTCCAGGCCAATTAGTTCACTGGTCCCCCAGAGATATATGAGACCAAAATATTCATGATTCTCAGTTGGAAATAGCCATGGGAAGATATCACTAGCCCATTCGTTCCTTGTTCTTGGATGAAAAGTCTAGAGGGAAACATATATGAATGATCAATATCACATATGCTTCTCAGTTTTGTTTATATTGATGTTAGCTCTATTGGTCTTCCAAAGGAAACTTTTATTGGCAAACACTTTTTTATTCCACTCTACAAGTGTAAAGGATCTAGGATTACAAGAGGCACTTCTTTACACTTTTAAAACCACTGGGCCATATATGCCACCACATGAGAGCCAGCTTGGTCTAGCGGTTAAGGCACAGGCTAGAAACCAGGAGACTGTGAGTTCTAGTCCCGCCTTAGGCAGGAAGCCAGCTGGGTGACCTTGGGCCAGTCACTCTCTCTTAGCTCTAGGAAAAAGGCAATGGCAAATCACTTCTGAAATCTTATCAAGAAAACTGCAGGGACTTGTCCAGGCACTTGCCAGGGGTCAGGACTGACCCAAAGGCACACACACACACACACGAAAATACTATCTGGTTCTTGACACTGGGATTCTAATACACCCAAAGGATGCTAGGCATTTGGAGAAAAGGGTGATTGGGTGTTTTTTTATTCATAGAAACTTTGGAGAGGGACTCTCTCTGGCCCTGCCTTCCCCAGCCCAGTGTGCATTAGACCTGGGGAGCAACTTTCAGCCAGCGTGGCCAATGGCTGGGTTAGCTAGAGATTGTAGGAACTGTGGTCCAACTCGACAGGAAGGCATCAAGTGGGAACATTGTGTTCGATACCAAAATGAATAATTTAATGGATTTGACTGCAAGGTCTGAGGTGTCCGATCTGCATTTAAACTCTGAAAAACTGAGGCGTTCGAAGGAGCAGCAGCAGTTACAAAGACTTCGGAAGCGGCGTCTGGTTGTAGCGGTCTGCCTGCCTTCCTGTCTTCCTGCCTGGTGGATCTCCCAGGAGAATCTCCTTTGTGAGAGCTGATCTCTTCTCAGGCCAAGATAATTATAGCTCTCTCCGCGCTGCAGTTCCCAACCCACGTCGAGCGGGAGAGCGGCGGCGGGGCGCTCCCTTCTATCGCGCGATCCAGAAGCCAAGAAACTGACCGGCTGCTGGCGAGGGACGCGAACGCAAGTCCCGGTCAACGCGGTCCTGCTCCTTCCTCGCCTCTCTGCAGGGCTAGGTTTCGGAGGAGCTCTCTGGGCATCCAGCGGCTTATGCAGGCAGAAAAAGCCGGCTCCGATTGGGCGTAGTAGGACCAAGGCGAGCGAGCGAGCGAGCGAGGGAGGGACCGAGGGAGCGAGGGAGGGACGCGAAGAGGAAGAGAGTTGGGCTTGCAGCGATGAAATGTAAACACGGGCGAGGGAAAGGCACCTCCTCGCTCCGGCCAGTAAGTTGATCGCCCCACGCCTCCCTGCCTCGCGAAGGCTGTCTCTGAGGGGCTCCGCTCGCCCCGGGACTGGATGAATTCGCCAAAGGAGCGTACCCAGCTCAGGGAGACGCGCCCTCTTCCCTTCCTCCTTCGGATGGATTTAGCGTCTGGAGCGAGCGGCATGCCCTAGCCATGGAAATGAGTATGAAGAAGTTCACGGTGCGCAGGTTTTTCTCGGTCTATCTCCGCAAGAAATCGCGCTCGAAGAGTTCCAGTCTCAGTCGCTTTGAGGTAAATGCTGCTGCTGCTACCGCCGATGATGGTGATGGTGATGATGATGATGACGACTTCTGTAGTGTCTGACAAATACTCGAGGGGGCTTTTCAAGTTCCAGCTGCCTTTCCTTCCTCCTCTTGGTGTTTAACAAGGTTCTCTGGAATTAGTTACTTGTTTCTGCAAGTAAATTACCTCAGTCAGAGGTAAATTTGTCAAAGGGATCATTAAAACCTCTCAAATAATACTTAAAGGTAGAATCAGTAGAGTCTGAGGAGAACCGTGTTCTCGATTGCTTCCGCCTGCCACAATTTTATCTCCGCAGCATCCTTGCAGGTTAGATCCTGAGCTATTGCATGGCCCAAGGGCACCTACGGAGCTTCATGGCTCAGCAAAGGTGCCTGTCCTGTGGGATCACCCCCCCCCCATTGCCTTATCCCCCATGCAGCTGTTTCATCCTGCCTAGGTTTCTCTGTCTCTGAAGGATGGTGGTATTTGTGAGGGAGTTAGGTTAAGCAGAAATGTTTCTTCATGGTGAGATGAAGACTTCTGTGTACTTTGTGGGAAGCTTTGGAATTGATGTCACATTTTTTTAAACTTAGGGCAGAGTGTTCATCTGATTGCCCCCCTCCTTTATTATTAAACCAAAAGAATAAATAGAAATGCTTTGGGAAATCACTCTTAAAGTTATATACTAACTGGTTAATTTTTGTGCTTTGAGCAAAAAGTATTGATAGTTTTTAATGTTGAATCATACTTCGGAAGCAGCCTGATCCATGAGTGGGGCAATTGCCTTCACCTCTAAAAAAGGTGTAGACTGATGTTGTTTGACACAATCCAATGACAGGCCTTATCTGGATGATTTTGGTTCCTGTCAGTTTTATGGCACCAATGCAAGTTTTATTGTGATAATGATAAAACAGAACTTGATGCAAAGCACTGCAAAGCTTTCAGTTCTAAGAACCACAGTATTACAGACAATATAGCACAGATCATCATAGGTTTACTCTGAAGTCAGCCCTTCTGAGTATGTGAAAGGTTGCTGTCTGCTAGCAAAATGTTTTGCATTCCTACTTCGAAGTGAGTTCAGCTGATTCAACAGCACTTGAACCCAGGCCAGCCCATATAAGATTGTTTGACAAGTTTCTTCTTCAGCTCTTGTTGTTCTTACTTCCAAGTACTGTACTGCAGCAGAGCATCAGTCCAATATATTGTGTATAGCTTTCAGGAGATATTCTTACTGGCACTTCCATGCTGTTTTTAGATGCTGGCAACCTTTGCAAACATCTACATTCAGCCCAGGGACCGTTATTATTTCATCCTGAGATGAAATTAATCTTTAAAAAAGGACAAAACTTGAGAAAAAAAATTATGACAGTGACAAGAAGAAGAAATACTAAGAAAGCATTTCTGTAGGTAGGAGAAAGTTTGGAGGATAAGGATGTTTCTGCAACTTTTTTTCTTGGTTCTGATCTTTCAAGAATGATATTTTAATTACTTCAAATTTATATTCAGTGGTCCCTTTTCCCCACATTTTTTGCATCATCAGTGCTCTTTCAGTGTCATTCATGAGGATCAGAGGAAAAACAGGCTCTTCAAAAGTATTAAAAGTATTTTCAATGAAGGGGGATTATGAAGGTTAAGAGAGAGAAACATTTTTTCCAACTAGTATTGGATCGTGGTATCTTGAATTGACTGTGATTTAAATAATTTAAATTTGTTTTCTAAAGAAGAGTTACGTATATCTTTTTTCTCATTGTTGAAGTCAGCAATAGATCTGTGGCTAAAAACACTTTCCTTTTTGGTCAGAGGAATACAAGAGTGCTTTGCCAAGTCTTATTTGCCTAAACTGTCAAGGTTTAAACCCAATTTGTATGAAACAAGTGTCATGCAGGTTTCACTAGTTGACACTTTTTATTAAGGAGGCCTACTTATACTTTCTCCAATGTAGTATTCTCCAGATGTATGGAGTGCTACTCCCATACTTTCCAAAAATCACATTGACTGGATGTGGGATTGTAATCCAGCATATCTAGAGGATACCAGATTAGGAAAGATTGACATACTTCATGTATTCACAGCAAGCTGAATATCAACTAATTTTGTAGTCAGATTGCTGTAGTTTATGAAATATAATTTTAGACAAATCAAAGAGCTTTCTCTATTATGCAGTGCTGCTTAGATACACATTATTATAATACCCATGGCACATAACTGTCCACTGACTTTCATAGTTTGGACATAAGTTGCTTTCAGATTTTCACATTAGGATGGCTCCAGTCCCTTACTTATTCCTATAGAAAGCTGGAGTATGTGAAATCAAAATGTGGTTAGCAATGCAAGCCTGTGCAAGTCTGTTTGAAAGTAATTCTACTCTTTCAGTGGTGTGCTTACTCAAGCTTCCTGAACATTGTTCTTCAGAGCTTCCCTAGCATGGTGCTCACAGTCATAATGTAACTCAGACTACTAAGACAAAAGAAAACGGCACTGTTTCCTGCACTAGAATCCTTCAGCTGTAATTATCCTGCAGCTTGGCCTGAATAGAAAGTAAGATTTGTTTTCTTTCACTGAGACAATGGAATAGTACCTATATATTCTGTTGCTTGTGCTATAGGGGAACATATTCAGCACAATTTATAAATCCTTTATCCTTGCTGAAGGGTAGCCACAGACATAACTGCGAATGTTCTGACCATTTCATCTCCAATAAGAGGGTGGCTTATGAATATTTCTATCAAAGAGCTCAAAAGCTAAATAAACTATGAAATAATTCATTAGGGTCTCAAAGGCCTATATCCTTTGAATTTACCCAGAAATGATCAGCAAAAGTGTTTTCTGGAAGGATGCATTTAATAAAGTACCAAGGCCATAGGGATGACATGGCAATCTGAACAGATAAAAAACTAGGTCAGGATCAACTCAGGAATTATTTGGAGAAGGTAATCTCTACTCCACAAAAACATTCGAAGATATTGGAGCAGCCATTTTGAAAAGGGCAAAAGCAATACAAGACATGGCTCAATAAAATGCTGGATAGCTATTTAAAAACCAATCTGCAGAGAGAAAAAATAGACTCCTGCTATAGCAGACAAATGCCCAAGATTGATAGTGTTACAGGAATTTGCTTTGCCAGATGAACACAATGCAGCAATTTATTTATACACACACATACAACACACACATTCTATGATGAGTTGTATTTGGATAGGGCAAGAAGGAATCAAGTCACCAGAGATCTAGTTTTAATTTGGTTCCATGTTTTTATAAAGACATTGACCTGCCCTGGAAGAAATGTAGCTTTTGTGGGACAGCAGTTAATTTCAGTAGGTACTGAAGAGCTGATGTTGTTATTAAGCAACTGTAGATGGAATTGCAAGAACCATCAGACATGCATAAAACTGAAATTCTTTTACAAAGTCGAAAAGGTATGCCATCTTGTCATTTAAGTTTTTATATTGATATATAATCAAATCTTATTCAGAAGAAGATGCTAGGAGTCATGGCCCAATAGGGATACTCTGTATGTGTATAAGAGAAACAAATATCTAATTTAGTATGCCTCCAAGCATTATTCCAATAAGCACATCCAATTATCAGCTATATGTTGCAAGTTGTATGACATACCATACTTCATATCCTTCTGAGTCTTGGATGTTTACCAACAAACCAAATACAAATAGAAGCAATCTGGGTTCCCCATTTACATCATAACTTTGATAATCTCTTAATTCATGGGGCAGCTGCATGAATAGGATTACTGACACATACTGAAAAAGAGTAGGAAAAATAAAGCATTTAGAAACTCTAATCTTCTAAACAGAGATACTATGAATGTGATCTTTTTAAAAGCCCTAATACTGAACTATAGCACCATCTGACAGGATCCCCACTCCTTTTCAAGATATACATGGACTGGAAAGAATGAAGGAACGTGCCAAAACTAAAGAAAAGGCCTTCTTTACAATATGTTGTTCCAATAAAGAAGAAAAAATGGGAAAATACATCTGGATAGTTTAAAAGTTTCATGAAATGTAAACTGAAAAAAATATATGAGATCTTGTCCCCAAAGCAACAGGAGCCCAAGCATTTTTCCAAACCTGACCCCTCAAGTTTTGGAAGTTGTTGATCTCAAGATTTTGCCACTTGAAATCATGGGTACTTCTGAGATCTTGGCAAAGAATACAACAGAACTCCTTAGAATTATAAAATGATGCATTATCTTTATACATAATGTCCATATCAATGGATCATCATAGCAGTGCTCATATTTTTATAACAAAGGAACTGAGCATCAGCTTTGAATTTTGGATATTACCATTTCTTGTTGTCTGAAGTTAATGAATGAAGAGGGATAAAATAAATTACACTTTCAGAGTTTATATGGGAACAATAATTAGACATGTGGTTAAGTTGTGATTATATGAAGATGGAAGAGTTAGGAAAGTGGAAGACAGGTGCCAAGGTAAAGTTTGTTTTTTTCCACCAAGGCAAAATTGTGGGATATTTGGATCAATTTGCAAAGGCTTTATTTTCATCCCTTTACCGTATTTATTTCATCGCTTCCTGGCATAATGCATAGGCCATAGGTCCTACATAGAAACAATCTAGCCTTGAAAATTCAGTGAGAGAAGTAAGTAGAAGTTGTCATTCTGATTTTCTGTTGCTCCATTACTTTCAGAAATAACTACAGATTCTTATTTAGGTCCCACCTTGCTTTACTTCTGTAAAATCTTAATGGTGTTTTCTATGCAATAATGAGCACATTGCTTTTACAAAATCACCCACTGTAATACCAGGTTTGAGAACAAAGACATTGTTTCAGATCATTTTTACTCTCTTCCACTGACCACATAGCAACTACCTAACAATTATCTGTTATCCAGATTCATGTTAAACTTGCTCCTGCCTGTAAGATAGTAGCTATCAGAGTAAAAGCAAACCAAAGAGTTTTCTTGTTTTCAGTTTAAAAATATAAAGAAGGATGGATATTCTTGGCTAAAGAAATGTTCATACATAGC